CCTCTACACCAGTTCCATGAGGTGGCCTCCTGGGATGCTGCTCCAGCTGTCCTGAAGGAGGTCCCACATATGCTGAGCACTAATTGGCTGCTTGTTCTATTTTCTCTGGTCAAACTCCTCCAAACCCATTTCTATTGTGTTTATGTCAGGTGGCCAGGTCATGTGATGGGACACTATCACTCTCCTTTATAGGCAGCTTGGCGTGTCCAAACTTTTGACTGTTACTGTATATTTTACTGACTCAAGATCCTACATAGGACAAGCGGCATACATACATACATACATACATACATACATACATACATAGGCCTGCATATTAGGGCCGTTAATCAATTTCTTTTTACCACAATTAATGTGGCAAATTGCTTAAACAATTATACTGTCATACGTTAAAAAGATTTTATAATCTGTATATTCAATATAGAAATTTATTCCAAACAGAAGTCTCAAAATAAAGACAAAAAATAAATTATGCTTGTATCAGTGTTGCATGACTCAAATACAGCAGCTTCAACATAAAAGCATTTCACTTGAAAAATCTGACAAATGATTCTAAAAACAGCAGCCTGACAGCCATCGAAAGTGCACTTAACTGGAAAGATCCTCATTTTAAGGTATTAGCCTACAATAAAATAAAACAAATATTGCAAATTATGATATTTTTTATCCTCTGGGTCATTTGGCAATTTTTAAAAAACAAAATCAACCAAGAAACAATGGTTCCTCTCCTTTCCCCTTTTCAAAAGCCAACTGAATGTTTTGATTTTAGCTATGAATTTTGGGATTGAGCGATGCCATGACCGAAGCTCCCGCATTGTCTACAACCAGAAAGGAATACTATACTATAAGTCTCTATTTAAAGTTGATGGTCATGCTACTCCCTCCCTGTGGAATGAAAAATTAACATATGCAATAAAAGAAATTATGCATATAAAATTAACATTAAAGCTTTGATGTACAGTATGTGTAATTAAATTGGAATTCTTTCATTTTTTTTAAATTAACTTGCAAAAGTGCAATGATTACTGTAGTACAGGAGCAAAAGCGACCCATGGCCCTCCTGGCCGTGGGCAGTCAAAGTGATGCGCATCGTGTTCTGCAGTCAAGCTTTTAAAGTGCCTTTTCAAAGCTGTCATGAGGAAAACGAGGCTGCTACTGTACGCCCACCGTGGAGGAATTGCTGTGTGCTGCACGATCACCAGCAACTTGGTCCCATATCTAGTGCACCCAGATCTCATTCTAGATCTCTTTTTGTCTTGTGGTTAACTTCATGTTTTGTAATATTAAGTTGCACAAGCAATATACCTGGCAAAGTATATGGGAACATGGAATTCGAGTCCTATTAATAAATGGTTGACCATTGCTGGTGTGCAGGAACAGGACTATCTTCCCGATAAAGATAGTAAAACAGACAGACAGGCAGCCTTGGCAAATGTGGATATCAGATTCTTTGATTCAAAATAACGTAAGAAAAATGAGAGCCTCACAAACAGGCGACAGAAAAAAGAAGCATGAGACTGTTATTAGGAAGTGTGGGTGATAGGCAGGTTGGTGGAGAAGGCTGTACACAGCCACATTTCCCAAAGGAAGAGGGGCTTCGTCACGGACCATTAACCCACATTAGGCTGGCTGCCCTGGAAACGGGGACCTGGAGAGACATTGTAGGTGATATGCTGCCGCATTTACATGGTATGTTGAGATTCTTCATAGGCCAGATGCTGACCTGGCATGCGGTGGTTTGTGCACGAGGGCATATGTGCTGACGAGCCGAGTCCATTTAGCAGCGACGCAGAGAGCTTCTCCTCGGTACCGACGGCCTTTTGTGTGCTACAACGGAGAGAAAATCAAAGCCGAGAGCCGATTACAATTCTGCCCGTTTTATGAAAACCACCGAAAGGGCAAATAAACAGTTTGTCAGGAGAGTTGGACATTGCTGAACTGGCAGGACAGATGGGAGTTTGAGTTGCTGCCGTTTCGATCTCGTCAATTTCCACGTCGTTCCCTGGGTCCTCAGTCCTAATGTCAATCTGCCAAAGGCTGTCCAGTTGCTTCCATCGTAGCCATTGTTTGAGGCTCAATGGATTTTCTCTCACTTTTCTTGAAACCTTTTGCTGGACAGCTGAGATTCTTTCTTAATCATCAGAGTGATAATTCTGGTCCCCTCCATTGCTATACTCATGATGTTGAAGTGACGATACTAGCTTGCACAAGCTCAAATGTCAAATGACTCAAGTATGAGTAATTATCAGTGACCAGCGGGCATGTGTGTGAGCGGGTCTGTGGTGCATAGCGAGTGGATGGTGTTGTAGTCCTTAAAGCCAGGGTCTTTGGCTCTGAGGAACTCTGGCTTGGAAGCTAGCTGCTAATATGCTATTTTAACACTAGAAAGACTGACTGGGTCAATTGACCCAAATCAAACAAAATCACTGCTATTTCTCATTGAAGTTCTTGTTACAAAAATCTGAAAAAAGTTAGCTTCAGTTAGCTTTCGTTTGACAGCTCATGCATATTTTGGCCAAGCATTTGCCGCAAACAGGACGCTTGCACGTGTCACAGGTAGTGACAGTTTTGTTGCGTTTACAAGCGACCGTGACTTGACAGCTGACTCTTCTCTCAAGTTGCCCTGTCAGTGATGGTGTTATGTCTATTATGTTATTGTTATTATGACTTGGTTATCTAATTCATTTGCATGACATTACGTCAATTGACCCAGTCAGTCTTTCTAGGTATATACTGCTGTAAAATACTAATTTCACCAGCAACTTCATTTGTGTTACCATGTTCTGTTCAAGAATGATAAAAAAATAAAAGTCAGATTTTTTCAGATTTTTGTAGCAAGAACTTCAATGAGAAATAGCAGTGATTTTGTTTGTTTTGGGTCAATTGACCCAGTCAGTCTTTCTAGTGTTAATATAAACACAAATCTGAGTTTTCTAATATAGCAAAGTTGAAAGAGGGTAATAGGTTGGTCTGAATGGCCAGAGCTCATAGGTTAATAATAATTGTTTCTTAATCTATTGCAACAGAAATAATTAAAGAGAAATCATTAAGCCAGAAGCACTCTTTCATCTAATGAAAAACTCAATATTTACTTTCAGTCACGTAATGACATTTTGCTGCATTTCAACGTATAATTCATTTTTTTTGTATTTGCATATTGAATACTATTAATTTTTTGATATATATTTTAAGGTATGACAAAATATGTCTTGCGTGTCAAATGTGTAATTTGTGGACTTGGTTTTCATGGAGGATTTTTGACCATTTTAAGTCAGGAGCACCATGTCATTTGATAGTTTTGTCAGTGCGTAGTGTTATATCAGCGGGTAATTATATTTCAGTGTGTAGTGAGGTGTCAGTGTGTATAGTGACAGCTCAGTAGGTAGCATTATCTCAGTGGGTAATGATGTCTCAATGGGTAATGATGTCTCAGTGGGTAATGATGTCTCAATGGGTAATGATGTCTCAGT